GCGGCGGGCTGTGGTGCCTAGGTGGTGCGGGCGGGCCAGGCGGGGCGATAGCGGCGTGACTTGAAACTCGGCAGGCGCAGAGGGAGAGGACGAGGCCGTGCCACCCCGTGACACTCTGTGACACTTGCTCTTACTCGCTGAATAATCGCGAAACCCCGTCACATCACAGCCTTGGGGTACGGGGTGACGGTGAGTCCCTCTTTGAAGATAGGGGTGCCCTGACATTCGGTCAGAGAAGCAGGGCTCTAAGAAAGGGCTTATTAAGCTGATGGCGAGGTGATGAAATCTAAATAAGGCTGAAGGGTGTAGTAGCTGCAACTTGAAGGTCAAACGGTGAATGAGCTGGATGGAGGACATTACGCTCCGCTCTTCAGAACACGAGCAAGAACAACACCAGCATTTGGGGGAAACACTCCCCAAATCGGTCGGTGTGAGTGCCACTCGTTTACTTTTATTTCCATCGAGCGAAGCAGGCGACGCGGTCGCGCCCCCTGGAAAAACAGGACTTTTGTTTATTATTGTTGTGTTTGAAACGGAAAAGGGTGATGAGATGCGGGCTTGGTTCTGCGTTCCGTGTAAAGCTGTCCCCCCACCCTCCCCTCTCCGTGACATCCCTCACACGGCCTGGCGCCGGAGAGAAATACGACTCAGCTCAGCACCGAGTCGCGGGGGCCCTTCCCGCCCCGCTCCGGCATTCCAAGGTGACTTTCTCCTCCTTCTTCTTCCCTTCCTCCTTTTTTTTATCGGGTTGTTTTCGGCGCAAGTTTTACTCTCTGAAGTCGCCGCCTTGTCCTCATTTTCCTGCCGCCGGCCAGAAATATGGGCCAAAGGGCTGCCCTTGAGTCGGAGGAGTCGGAGCGCCCCCGCTTTGGCCGGCGGCCGGCCAAGGGCAGCTATGCGCCCGTCGCTCCAGTCCGCTCGGCCGCTCGCTTTTTGCTGTTGCTTCATCGATGAGGAAATCGCCCGTCGTTCACGCACCAAGCAGACTGCGTTGGCTCATGATTGAGAACAGTTTTTGGCCAAGAACATTTTTTGTGCCAACTTTCACCCCCCTCCCCCCTCGACGTTGCGGCATAGTATGAACACCCCCTGGGCTCCGAGCCTTGGCGCCTGACGGTCGGAGGGACTAGACAGCCCCGCAACCTCTGAGGTGTCTCGCTCTCCACACTTGGTTTCCTAGAGTAATTACTCAAGACACTATCTGCGTCACTTTGTTGATCATGCCTGCCTTGTTCGTCACAGAATGCTTTGAGCGGGTGCGCTCGGGTCAACAGCTGGCGCCGAACGCCGTCAAGGACCTCATGCTCGTGCACAGCCTGGGCGCGTGCCAGCAAGCCTGCCTGGCTGTCACCGCGTACGTCTGCAGGGCCTTCACCTTCAGGTAGGCGATCACACAACAACCATTTTTGAATGTTCCTCATCATTGTTGCTGAGCGAAGCGAAGCTCTCCGGAACAGTGGACCGAGCTCTCC